TAGCTGTAGAATCTAGGGGCAGATAATCCTGGAGATGATACTGAGGACAAACAAGGGTACATGAATGAAATAGCTATCAGGGCAAGGACCAATGAGTTTCATCACTGCAACTAGCAGTTTATACAGTGTTCAGGGGACATAGATGACCAATATGGTTTGCTTATGTAAAATTTAGGTTCACACTCACTAATGAAATGGAAGGCAACTGAAGAATCTAAAAAGGGATCAATATGGCCACATTATTTCATTGGAAAGAAATATAATTGTGAATCGAAAGACCAACTGGGAGGTGCTTATACTTTTTCAAGCAAAGAGGGTCTGACCCAGGATAATGGCAATAGAAACAAGAAGTGGAAGGAGAAGGAGGGATTCAAGATGTAAACAAGATGTAAAATCAACAGGCTTTTTTCTTTTTCTTTCTTTTTATTTTTTGTGTGTGCCAGGGATTGAATCCGGTGGTGCTTAACTACTGAGCCCCAGCCCCAGCCCATTTTTGTACTTTATTTGGAGACAGAGTCTCACCGAGTTGCTTAGAGTCTTGCTAAATTGCTGAGGCTGGCTTTGAACTTGCAATCCTCCTGTTTCAGCCTCCTGAGCCGCTGGGATTACAGGCATGTGCTTGGCAAATCAACAGGCTTTGAGGCCTGATTTGATAGAGAAAGAAAGGCAAGTCAACCATTTTTTTCTTATTTATTGAGCTCCTACCTCAACTGGCATGGTTTTAGGCATGAGAAAGATAATAAAGTCCTTGTCCCAGAGAATCTTGCAATCTAATGGGGAAAGAAAATCATCAAATAGGGCTAGATTGTGGCTCAGTGGCAGAGCACTTGCCTAGCATATGTGAGGCACTGGGTTTGATTCTTAACACTACATATCAGTAAAATTTTTAAAAAAAGGTTTTTTAATACTTCAAAAAGAGAAAATCAACAAATATTGACACTGATATTCCTATCTGGATGCCAGGTGGCAAAATTTCTCTGGAGAAAAACAAAGAACAAGGGGATAGGGAGTTTTGGAAGAATGGAGGGTAGTCTGAGGCTTTTTACTGAGAAAGTGACATGTATATATACAGTTCACATGAAGTGATCAAGGAATGCAGATTAATGGGGTATGGGATATGCATTCCCAGGAAAATAACATTTTCAAAATCCTCAAGGAAGGAGTAGAGTTTTTTTGATCAATAAAGAGGAAGGGGTCAGGAGTAGCCAGGCGGAAGTGTCCAAGAGGAATAGGGCCAGAAGCTCATCTGGTCACATAGGATTTGTAGGCAACTGTTAGAACTTTGGTTTTTATTCTTGATAAGATAGGAAGCCACTGAAACTTTTTAAGCCAATGAATGGCATAATTTGTTTCACATTTAAAAAGGTCATTCATGGAAAATGGGCCATAGGGGACAAGGGGCAAGCAGGGAGACCAGTGAGAAGAAAACTACAATAATCCAGGCAAGGGGTAGGGTGGGCTGAATTAGTGTGGTAGTCAGGGAGGTGACGAGACTGTTTGGATTCAAAAGTTAGAGATGACCAGATTTGCTTATTTTTAGGTAGAAAAGAAAAAACAACAAAGAAGACAAGAAGATTCCAAGATTTATGGCTTGAGCAAAGCAAAATATGAGGTTCTCACTTTTTAACATGAAGAAGGATGTAGGAAGAGAAGGTTTGGTTGGACCAATTATGGGTTCTGTTTTAGACCTCAGCACTTGAGACAGTTATTATATACCAAATGTGGAAATGTCAAATATGCATTTGACATGATTGATTCTTTTGAAAATGGTAGAAATTATAGCATGTTTCATATTGATGGGAATAATTCAGTAGAGAAAAATTTAAAAGGCATGGATAGATAGGCCCTGAAATTATACAAAATGGTAACATTTGGAAAAGCTAGCTTAAGAGTACATGTGAATTCCAGGTTGGGGATAAAGGTGAGTTGGTAGAGTGCTTGCCTGGCATGAACAAAGCCATGGGTTCAATCCCCAGCACCAAAAAAAAAAAAAAAAAAAAGTATATGGGAATTCTCTTTTTGTAGGTATTTAAGCCTAAAACTAATTCAAAATACAAACTTTAAAATAAATAAATATTAGGTATGCAGGAAGCCCGGAAGCCTTTAAGTCCACTTCAGGGCATTAAATAAATTACTCCTAGGGCAAATACTGGAAAGCAGTATTTGCCACTTAGGTGGTGGGGTAAGGAAAGAAAGGCATGCCCTTAAAAACAAGAGTTTCAGGAAAAGAAGAATAAAACCTGATACACTTTGAACTTGGCTTTTAAATATTCGATAGCATTTTTTCCCGTTTCTAAGCACAATGGAAAAGAGTTAAGAAAAAGAATCTTGGGGCTGGGATTGTGGCTCTGTGGTAGACCGCACCGGGCAGGACCCAGGCAGGACCCAGGTTCGATCCTCAGCATCACATAAAAATAAAGGCATTGTGTTGTGTGTACACCTAAAAAATAAATATTAAAATATTAAAAAAAAGAAGAAAAGGAATCTTAACTCTTTTCCATTGTGCTTAGAAAAGAGTGACCAGGACAATTTTGAAGGATCATCCTACCACACTGGGGAAGAAGATCAAAGAATACCAATTCCAATGTCATGTAAAAGGTGAGTTCTGGGCTGGGGATATAGCTCAGTTGGTAGAGTGCTCACCTCACATGCACAAGGCCCTAGGTTCAATCCCCAGCACCAAAAAAAAAAAAAAAAAAAAAAAA